GGACTCAATTTGCACTATTTCTGGCAGTCTGCAACCCCCCTTTAGTTTCTACCAAAATCACACTTTTTAAAATCTTAAGTTCCTTCTATTCTGAATCTGAAGAAATTTGTGATTTAAGCTTATTTATTTATTTATTTATTTATTTATTTTAAAAAACTGAAATGTGAGTTTCTCTCATCCTTGTTTGTTGTACAGAGATGCTGACAAGGCCAACCTGGCTGCACAATCAACCCAAGTAATGCTGAAAAATAACACACAATCTAAACCTCTCAGATCAGGCATGACCCAAAAACAAATAGACCTGTTATAAGGGATTCTGCAACCTATTCCTTGATTTAAGAGAACTCAGTGGGCGAGAGTGACAAAAAGTGTTTTGGGTTCCTGAAGATAACACAAAGCAATTGCCTTTTGATGTTGTCCCTTCTTCCCATCTCCTTCTCTCAGAGGCCTTGTCTGTACTTTCCAGGATATTCTGGGGCAGCCTGGAGTATCCTGACTTCGTAGCTGTCCTGATCTGTCCCTGTTACCTTGACCTCCTCCATGCCACAGTAGCTGTCTACAAGAGTGTCCAACTGGGCCACCTGGCAAGTCTTCTGCCAGCAATGGGTCACTCGCTTCTGAGGTCCGAATGAGGCACCATCACTGTTCATATCCTTTGTGACCTGTGGAAGTGGCAGATGCACCAGGTGGCCCAGTAGAACACTTGTGCAGACAGCTGCCATGAAGTAGAAACAGAGGGCTCTGGATCTTTCCAGAAAATCCAGAGCAACAGGCAAGTTAATTTTAATCAATTTTAACCCTTTTATGTCCCAGTTATGGTGCAGCATGTGCCAGATGTTGTCCAAACTGCCCATACCAGAACAGGAGTTTGGGCTGTGTATCGTCCAAACAGAACATCACAATGGGTGGTAGGGTGGGTCTTTCGGACCATGCAGAACAGGCCTAGGTTTGGGTCTAATCCACTCTGGTTTGGGTACTGATTTTGCCAAGAACTATAGTTTCTATTGGGAGCATGCGTCTGTTTCTCCACTCACTCCCCACCTATTCATGCACAAGCCAGACCTGTTGTCTCTTGTGATTCCAAGCATGTAGTTTTGAAAGGGCCAGTCATTTTGGATGTGTTGCATTTTTAAAGGACATGTTTCTAGTCCTTGTGGTTATGAATATTATACCTGAAGTCCTTAACTACAGAAGCCCACAGTGCTCTGTGGGTGAATTTTCCATGCCCTTCATGACCACCCGCCCTTTCTTCCTAATCCTTCTGCCTGGCTGCCCCCATTTCATTTCTTATTTGCCATGATGTTATTTCTTCAGGGTGGGTGGAGACTACTAAAATTGTCAGCTTCAGATATCAAGCTGAAATATAAATTAAACATTTTATGCAATGTGAATCCATTCACACAAGTTTGATGTATTGATTGATGAGAACCAAAGTGTGTGTGTGGGTATCTGAACTAAGAAAACAGACCTTCAAATGCCTTATGCCTTTCTAGGTTAGTCATCTCCTGTCCCACAAAAGAGGAAAGGTAGGAAAACAAAGTGAATCCATTCACACAGGTTTGATGTATTGATTGATACATATGAGAACCAGACCTGTTGTCCCACCCGTATAACTGTATCACCCCTTTGTTCCATCTCCACAAACTCATAGACTTCTACTTTGTTGATATTT